TTATTATTATTATGAGTATTATTTTAGCTTTGGGTGCAGGCTTGTTAGCACCAGGAGGCCAGCTGTACCAATCTGCAGGAGAGCCATGATACAAGGAGACCACAACAACAACAAATTGCATTTCTACAGCGCCTTTCATGTCAGGATGATATCCCAAGGCACTGGACAGTCACAGGTTTGCACCCAAGCGGTGGGTGGGGTGGGTGGGGTTGGAATCAAGATTGGTGGGGTGGTGGGCGGGAGGTATGACTGAATGTGCGCTCAAAAGGAAAGATTTTGAGACAGGCCTTGAAGAAGGTGAGGGAGGGGGGTGAGGTGGAGGGGGGCTCTGAGATAGCATTCCAGCGGGTGGGGGCAAAATGGCCGAAGGCCTGACCGCCGATGGTGGGGCGGGCAGGTCGGGGGACATGGAGCAGGCCAGAGCCCTCCGAGCGGAGCGAGGTCGAAGGTTGGTAAGATGTTAGGTAAATGACATTTGTTTGGGGCCTTTCACTGAAGGGAGGACGTCCCAAGGCGGTGGATGGAGGCTTTATTGGGAAGATGGTAGGGCGGGTAGTCTGAAAGGAGGATTGCTAGTGAGTTGAGGGGCCTTCGGGAACCAGCTTCACCAGCTCTCAATCCCATTTCAGTCACGTGAAGTGATATAAGAATAATAACAATCCTTGCATTCGATACAGCGTCATATCACGCCTTCGGGGCGGCTGAAAGCGCTTCACGGAAGCATACTGTAATGTGGATTGACTGTATGCTTTGTGGGCGAACGTAGCGGGCAGGATAGCGGGGAGTGTGATCAGAGAACGAAGCAGGAGGGAAAACTGACTGGAGCTGGGCCACAGCGGGAAGGAGAAAGTTACAGGAGAGGCCCCGTGTGGCCTGCAGCCAGTGTAAGGCCACTTGTTTGGATAGCTGTCTGGGCTCATGCATGAGAAAAGACTTAATGGCTCTTGTTTCCCGCTCGTGCTCTGAATGCACCTGGGCTGCCAAACAGGGTTGTAATTTTACCAAACGGTTTCGAGTGAGATGACAGCCGATAACGGTGATCCAAATTCAGTGGCAATCCTTCCCGCAAGGCGCCCCCCCTTTCTGAGTCGCAGACAAAACAAAACAAGGGACTGACTCGGTTCCCTCGGTGCAGGGGAATTCTTCCACTCGCTACAGCTCTCAAACATTTCGCCCAAGAGGCTGGGCAGGATCCTCACGGTGTCGGTTTCTGCTGGTAATAGTCATCGCAGTGCTAAATGTTAACGAGCGCCAGGGAATGGCAGCGTTAAACTGCAAGCTGTTTTATCCGGTCAAGAATAGAAGGACCAGAGGACACGGCCTGCGATTGAAGCGGGGTGAGGTTGGGGGGGGGGGGGGGTGGGTTTGGGAAGTTCGAACGTATGGAACAGGCTCCCCTGGGAGATGGTGGAAGCAGAAAATGTTGATTCTTTCCAATGCAAATTGGGTAATAATACGGTGGGGTAGAGGATATAGTTTGGGACACATGTGCATGTTCAAGGCGAACTGGATGGATCTCGGGCTTCTTTCGTCCAGCCCCACCATCGGCGGGCTGGCCTTCAGTCTCTCTGCACCCCCTACCCTTTAGAACTCCATCCCACAGTCACTTTGCCTAGCTTCCTCCCCTACCTCCTTCAAGGCACGTCTGAAGAACATCCTCTTGGACCGTTCCATCAGCCACCCTCCTACCCCCGCACCCTCCGCTTGCTCGATCCCAACACCCCCCAGCTCGGATCCAAATCCCTAACTGTCCAGGGCCTTGGGATGTCCTCCCGACGTGAAAGGCACTGTACGAATGTCATTTGTTGTTGTTGTTGTCGCCACACATTACAGTGAATCCTGCGAAATGCTTTGAGACATCCTCCCGACGTGAATGGCGCTGCGTAAAATGCAAACATTCATCGTCCTTTATTGCCATATTATGTGAACAGAGGATGCCACCTCCAGGGTGGTGACAGCAAGGTGTAGAAACAGGGCACCGAGGAGGAAACGGTGAGAGAGGGGAGCGAAAGAAACTGAGAAGGGGGGGAAAAAAAAGAGAAATAAATTGTGGACGTTTGATACATCCCCCGAATCCAGTCTCAATGCCTGATCTCCTGGCTGTGTTCCAGATGTACAATTAATTATGGTGGGTACGTACCCATAGGGTGCAGTATAATAACACATTCATTACAATGCTGGCCTCGCATCTCAGTGATTCTTTCTACCATGGGAATGATTGAAAAACATTATCCGTCTGTCAAGTGTGTTACTCGGGATCTCTGCACTGGTTTGTTTTGCGGAGCGAAAGGGGTTGTGGGGGATAGAGGGAAAGGGAGGAAGCCGAGTGAGTGAGTGGAACTTCCCCCCACCTCCGCCCCCACCGTAAGTGCCTTGCACTGTCTGGGAAAATGGCACAGGAAGGAAATAAGGATATGGTTTATTTAAACAGCGCAGTTATACAATTCCTGCTGGCTAACAGTCTCCAGGACTTAGTGGAGTCCTGCAGCATATTGGTTAGAGCGCTCACCTCGCAAGCGAGAGGACCTGGGTTCGATTCCCGGGCAGGGTGATACGTCGGGCAAGTTTCCTTACTCCACACACACACATGCCTCTGTTTATCTCGCAGTAAGTAGGAACCCGGTTGGTAGTCGATTGGCAGATCGCTTTGCTGGGGGTAATAATCCCTCCAAAAAACTAAAATGACAAAAAAAATATGAATTTGGTCGCTCAATCCAGGGCTGTTTGTGGGACACTGCTGAGTGCATGTCGGCTGCTGTGTCTCACCCACAAAATACACGCAATCACAACACTGTGTAGTATCTGCAGCGAAGGGCTTTGGGACGTCTCGACAACTCAATAAGGCACTGTATCGAATGCAAGGATGATGATGATTATTATTATTATTATTAAATTTGGGCATCTGTTAACTTATGATATTTATCACAAGGACAAACGTTAATCCCAGTGCTCCCAAGATACATTCCATCTACCCAAAAAGAAGGAGTGTTTGATTGCACAATGAAATCAAAAGGTGGGAAACCAGAATTTAAAACCTGATGTTATTGTCCAAACAATTCCTGGAATTACAGCTTTTCCCCCCAATTTGATCCCACGTATGAACCATGGGAAATCTCTCCTCTTTGATCCTTTCACGTGTGTTTTGATTCAGCTTCACACACCACGAACCTGCCTTGTTATTTCCGCGCGCCCATCTGTATCCTCACGGCAGTGCGTCAAGCAGGAGGGCCTCTGGATGATTTCATCAGATAGCTTAACTCGCTTTGATCATGATCCATTGTAATATCGTTGATGCTTTGATAGCCAGGTATTTTCCAGTGGTGACACACAAATTGAACTTTGCTTTGAAGTGGTTTACTCCTCCCGATTGTTGATCAGTCAACCCCTCGATGAGTTTGTATTTGTGGATGTGCAAATGTTAGTTTTGCTTTATTAGAATTTATCAGCACATTCTTCTAAGACGGAGATGGGGCAAAGCAATGGAGCTATATGTTTTCTTTTAAAAAAATATGCCAGGTTTGGAAACATACTGCGCACGGTCACCAAGAAATAACGTGTTAGAATGCCTAATACATAAAAGGCGAAGTCTGCTTTAAGACGGTGTATATTGATTGTCGGAGGCAACAACAACAAGAAGATTCCATTTATAGAGCGCCTTTCACGTCGGGAGGACATCCCAAGGCGCTGGACAGTTGGATCAGGACCCGAGTATGGGGGAAAGTCGGAGGCAGTGCAGAGGAGAGTGACAAAGATAATAATAATTTTGTATTTGATATAGCGCCTTATCACATCATTTAAACGTCTCAAAGCGCGTCACAGGATATACTGTAAAGTGGAGTGACTGTGTATTTTGTGGGAGAAACTCGCAGCCAGATGTGCACAGCCGTGTCCCACACACAACGGGAAAGTGATCCTCGAATCGACTGACAGCTGCGTTTCTATTTACCGCTTGGTAAGCAGAGGCTTGTGGAGTATGGAAACTTGTCTAATGTTTTGCCCTGCCCGGGAATCAAACCTAGGTCCTCTCGCATGCGAGGTGATGGGTGAACCTTTCAGTCCCAGATATATTGAACATTTTAAGGCATGAGATACCTCAGCTTTTACACGGAACATTAGAAGCGCTTTGTCTGTACCTTGCAGCAGTGTTTACAAGTTGCCGGCTCAGGCACAAACGAGAGGATTTACTCTTCATTCCCATGCCTCAACAGCGAGTACAGTGTTACACTTTTATATACAGTATATAAAAAAGCTACAGTATCAAAGATATACTGTAAGCAAAGCAAATCCAGCTCCTGCCCCGGGGACAAAGCGTATGACTTCACTTGATGGCAATGCAGATGAAAGGATGAATGAATGAAAAGACGTACTGTATGTGATTGCCTCGGTACCTGATAGCTCCGCGAACATACTTCCAGGCAAATTATTGCTGAACAAAGGAATTGGTAATGCCATACAACACTGTACTACACACACTATCCATATATATATATTAAGCCTTAATTATCAGCACCGTGGGAAATGCGTTCCATATTACACAACAAATTACATTTACACAGCACCATTCACGTCGACAGGATGTTCCAAGGCACTGAACAGTCAGGGATTTGGATCCGAGCTGAGTGGGGGGGTTGGGATGAGGGAGGGTGGGGTTCGAAGGGTGACCGCAAGTGCGGTCGAAGAGGAGGGTATTGAGACGTGTTTTGAAGGAGGCTAAGAGGGAGCGAGGCGAAGGGACCGTGGGATGGAGTTGCAAAGGGTGGGGGCGGAGAGGCTGAAGGCCCGACCGCCGATGGTAGAGCGGGCCGGGCGGGGGGACGTGGAGCAGGCCGGAGCCCGCTGAGCAGAGAGCGCGGACATATAATTTCATCAATAACACGTAAGGGATAATCTAGCTATTTTACGCTCAGTTGGCCCTGAAATAGCTTTCGGGGTGGGTGGGGAAAAATAAAAAGGGAGAGAAACACAATCTGTACTTTACTGGTGTTTCGTTCTTCCGCTAGGCTACCTGTCCAAAGTTTTACGTAACCACACGGAGCACGCCTGTGATGGTGGTCACCTCAAGCTGATTTGCCCCCGAGGCACGACACTGAGCGTACAGTCAGCCTTCTACGGGCGTGAGGTGCCGAGCTCCCAGCTGTGCCCCAGTTTACGCCCCACGGACACGGGGGAAGAGAACATGAACTGCTCCGCGCCTACCACCCTACAGGTATGGCAAGAACTCAGTGTCAGATAACGTGCTGCTGTTCCTAACAATAATGCACTCATCTTCAAATCCCTTCCTGCCCCTGGTATCTCTAACCTGCTTACTCCCCCAACTCACTACCCGCTGCCCTCCACTCGATTAGCTCCAGCCTCCCGCATGTCCCTCATCCCCACCGCTCCACCACCGACGTCCGCACTTTCAGCCAATACGCCCCAAAACTCAGCAACACTCTTCCTTTATCCCTCCGCCTTGTCCCTTCCTTCGCCATCATCGGGTTGCGCCTGGAGGCCTTCCTCTTCGATCGTTCCTACAATCATCTCCCCCCTCCCCCTGGCTCAGTGTCGTGCTCCATTACTGTCAAGTGCTCTGGGATGCTACCCTGTGTTAGGGCCGCTCTATAAGTGCAAGCTGTTGTTGTTATGCGGGGTGAAGCATTTTAGATCTGTGCAGTTATATTCCAAAGTTGTGGTAATGCTGAGTTCGGTGTAAGTGAAATTAATCTGATTATCTGACGTGGAACCATGTAATATTTTTATTGAAATAATGAAAGCAAGGTATTTTGTGCCCCCGCCCTTTGGAATTCCACCCCACAGCCCCTTCACCTCGTCCCCTCCCTTGTCTCCTTCGAGGCCCGGCTCGAGACCCTCCTCTTCGACCCTCCCTGCCCTCCTGTTCCCAACCCCCAGCACCTTGCTGAATGATTATCCTTTCAGTTGATGCAACGTCTTTCACATCAGGAAGATACACTGTCAAGTGCAGTGACTGTGCATCTTGTAGGTGCGCACAGCAGCCAATTTGCACACAGCCGTGCCCCACAAACAGCCATGACCAATTTTATTTGAGGGACCGCTGGCGAGGACACCGGGAGAGAGAAATCTTTAATGTATCTTTAATGTTCACTTGAGCAGGCAACTGGGACCTTGGTTTAACATTCAGTCCAAATGACGATAGCTTGGACAATGCACACAGACTGTATCAGCTACATACATTGACTACATACAGATATTACCTGGGGGTGGGGGTGGAGGGTGGAAGGGGATGGTGGGGGGGGGTTATTGGATACACAGCAGCGACCTGACGATTTGGAAGTTGACCACAAATTAGTATTTTGCTTCCGACGTGTCCACTGAGCTATTGTACCCAGCTGAATGCATTATAAGACTTGTGGGATATCATAAGAGTCCTTTAGCGTATTGGCGAGAGCACTTGCATCGCAAGCGAGAGGTTCAATTCACGGACGGGTCTAAAAGTAGATGAGTTTCCTTACTCCACACGCCTCTGTTTACCCAGTGATAAGTAGGAACCCGGTTGTTAGTCGATTGGCGAATCGCTTTTCCGGGGGTAATAACACCTTAAGAAAAAGATAAAACAATAATAATTTGGTCACTCAATCCTTGACTGTTTGTGGGACAGTTGTTTACAAAGCGTACAGTCAATTCACTTTGCACTATATTTGAGACATCTTACTGCTATCTTACACCGGCTGAATCAGAAGTCCTTACTCATAGAGTTTCTAAATTAGTATTTATGTTTTTTTTTAAAAAAAGACAACATTGGTAGAGAGAGTGCAGCTATTACAGGAGACGTCTTTCACCGGGTTGGTGAAAGTTTTTGACACCGAGTTGATATGTGTAAAAGTTGCATGTCATAGCAGTTTGAACATCCCATATAAACCTACGAGGAAGGACTTCTGATTCGCCCTGTATATACGCCCCACAAAATGTGAAACACGTTCCAAAAAAGCCTCTTGAAACGGGTTCCCAATTGCTTATGCATCTGCCCAAGCAATTGCAGGCCTGTCACATTGATGTTCAAATCATTTAATCCTTGTGGCCAAACTCAAACCACCTTGCGTCTATTCGATTGCCAAACCATTGGGCTTGCTGTTCTTGGATTGTAAAGAGAGGTTGATTAAGTTTGGTGCGATTCCATTCAGACTGTGTAGGACTTTGTATTATTTCACCATTTAAAACTAACTGGCGCAGTTTGTTCCAGCAGGCATTTCCCTTTGTCCCTGAACCATGTCTTCTGAAACTTCTTCTTACTTTCGTTCCTGCCAGAAAATACTGGATGAATGCCAGGACCATCATTCCTGCCAGCTGCTAGTCAATAGACGCGTTTTTGGACTTGACCCCTGTCCAGGCACAAGCAAATACCTCCTTGTCTCCTATAAATGCAAACCCAGTAAGTAATACTTTCCCAGTTGATGAATGAATGAATGAACATCCGTGGGCTCCACCTTTGGGTTCAAATTACTCACAGAGAGGGTGGAAAAGGAAACTGGTATCAATCTTATCTGGTTGATGCAATAGGGACGAACCAGCGCATATTTTTCCATGAGGTTAAGTTGTGTGACTCATCCGCTAAAGTTTGTCCCATAAACAACTCGAACAACTGAGGAATAAATATCCATTATTAAGTTGTCAATCATGGAGCACAATTTAATTCTGTTTTTTCGACCGTGTTTCCCTTCGCATTGGAGTCCATTCATGAACCGACAGCCCCATTATGAGAGGACGCCATATATAAAATATGTTACACAATAATCCTCGCATTTGATTTAGCGCCTTATCAAAGAGCTGTGAGACGTTTTGCAGACATGATAAGGCGCTATATCAAATGCAAGGGTGATTATTATTATTATCATGTCGTTGAGACGTCTCAAAGCGCTTTGTGGGATTCGTAATGCTAATAATCGTTGAATTTGATACAGCGCCTTATCATGTCATGGAGATGTCTCAAAGCGCTTCCCCGGATTTACAGTGAAGTGTAGTGAACTGTGCATCCTCTGGGTGCACACGGCAGACAATTTGCGCAGAGTAATGTCCCATAGACAGCAACGAAGCGATTGACCAGTGTTATCTGGGGGATTGTTGTCCAGGACTCCGGGAGAGAGAAACCTCCCTCTCTTTGTGATTGGTGCCAGGGGATCTTTAACGTCCACCTGAACAGGCAGACGGGACCTCAGTTTAACATTTCATCCGAAGGTTGGGCAATGGGATTGGTTCTGGAGAATCCTATTGAGAAGCATCAATTGGATCAGTCTCACTCTGATCACTTTATACAGTAAGGTCGTATCCCCCTTAGAAGGTCTTAATCCTTCATTCTCTGGCTTTTGACAGAAGCAGTACAAAAATGATAATAATGATAATTTGGTCACTCGATCCACGACTGTTTGTGGGACACCGTTGTGTGCTGTTGGCTGCTGCTTTGCGTTCAATCCCCACCAGTGAAATCCCTTCAAAAATGCCCTGACGTATGTTCTAAATCCCTAAATAAACAGAGTTTCATTTAGTTTGCTCTCTAACGGAGACTCAAAGCTGTACCTCTTCCCACAGATGAGTACAAAAGCAAAGTAGCTTGTGAAGGCAGAGAGCTTAAGATTCGCTGCAGCAATTCCACGCTGATTAACGTCTATTCTGCCACCTACGGCAGAATACTGCACGGGAATAAGGCCTGTCCTCCATCCAACCCTCAACTGCCCAATCAAGGTAAGTCATGCACAGGTCACACAGTTGTGCTTCAGAAATGTTTGACAAAAAGGCTGATGGAGGAAGAGACGGCAGGTCAGCTCTGAATTCTGGGGCTTACGTAATGCGGAAAATAATAATAACACCGTTGCATTGATATCACGGCTTTTTACATCGTTGAGATGTCTCAAAGCGCTTCACAGGATATACTGTAAAGTGAATTAGCTGTGTATTTTGGGGCTAAACGTGGCAGCCAATTTCGCCCAGCAGTGTCCTACGAATAGCCGTGGATTGAGTGATCAAATCATTTTTTTTGAGGGTTTATTACCCCCGGAAAGCGATCCGCCAATCGACTAACAACTGGGTAAGCAGAAGAGTGTGGAGAATGGAAACTTGCCTAAGGTTTCACCCTGCCTGGGAAGTGAACCCGGGTCCTCTGACTTTGTGAGGCAAGTGCTCTAACCACTATACTACAGGACTCCACAAAATTGTTGAGTTAAGATTGCAATCTTAGGGGCTGCCAGAAGGAAACTGTAAAGCCCTGTTGACACAGGTCAGCTGTGTGGGATCAAATAATAATCGTTGCACCTCGGGTGGATGTCTCCAAGCACTTCACAGGGTTTACAGTGCAGTGACTGTGCATTTTGTAACCAAATCAGAATGTAGCAGAGAACCTACAAAAAATCCTTGACATAAAATGGGACGAATTTAACTAGTTGGTTTATTGGTCACTCTCCTTGCCCTCTGGCCCAGACTGGTTGAGAACAGGCTCGATAAGCTGAACAGTGTCCTCCTGTTCTGGGTTTCCTGTATTCCTGTGAGATGGGTTTGGTTTGGAGAAGGACCACATGGGAAATAATTGGGAGGGGGGGGGGGGGGGGGGTATGGTAACTACCCAGTTAGCACAAGGATTGGTTCACTTCCCCTATTTTTTGGTCAGCTGGATGTCTGACACATGCGCAAACCCATCACCTTGCTTAAGAGTATCCAAACCAAGCTGAGAATTCCAGGCGTCCCACCTACACACGGAAATCCCAGAGGTGGATTGTTGGAATGGAATCCGCACTCTCTCCCTCTCTCCCTGGAGGGACACATCCTGCTTACCTAATTCCGGAAAGTATTAGGCGCAGGTTGGCAAAAGCCAAGGCTTGAGGTCCCAGAATGTACATTGGGGTAACTGCTGAAGTCTAACCAGCTACAACCTCATAGCTTGCCATCGGTATCACTGTGTGGCAAGCTTTCTCGCTGCTTGTCCAGCTCGCACCACCCTACCCGTTAGAGCTTTGGCTTGCAGGGTTAACAGGAGCTGAGTGGGATAACTCCCTTCCCCCACAGTGACTGGTCTGCCCTTCCAGGTCCTGCCGATGAGCCAGGCTGGCTATGCTGTCATCAGCACACTTTACCTTCTGTGGCTCAGCCGGGTGTCTGACACACACTCTTAAGCACGGTGATGTGTCAGAAGCCCAAGCTTAAGTTAGTTCACTGGGTGGGGGGGGCTGATGTTGCCCATTGCAGAGTCCTCGAACGCTACCAACTTGGGAGCTAAGTGTTAACTGGCTTTGCTGCCAAGAGTCAAGAATAGAGCTCTCTGTGAGCCTGTTTTCATGATCCAGCCTATCCCAAACTAGTCATGTCTTCAGCCTCACTGTCCCTGGTGTGTCTGACTAGGCTTTTATCCCTAATGCTTCAGCCTAGCCCATTCAATACAGCAACAGTATTTAGAGTGGTACAATACCATATAATTGGGTTAGTTTGGCACTTTATCAAATTGGCCTGTATTTGGGAGTCATTTCAAGCCTTAATTGAAATCCAGGGTTATCCAGGGCCCCCCTCCCCCCCTTTCCTGTTTGTGTGCTAAGCAGCTTAATTCTTTTCGGGAAATTTACACACTAAAACTAAACATCTATTTTTTCCGCAAAAACAAAGCCAATCCTTTTTTTTTAAAACTCCGAAAGGTGCTAAAATACGCCCGCTTGATTTACCCCTAAAGAGCAAAGTATTTTCCTACAGACCATCACTGTATCCAGGGAAGGTTCAGACAACCTAACCTACTGGCTGGCTCGGATTCTAATCCCTCAGCAGTACAATCCTGTTCTTCAGACCTTCTCGGTCGCTAACAGCATTTATACTTGGTAGGTAGCCTAGGTAACTCCATTGGTTAACTATTGTCCTTCTATTAATGATAATCCTTTGCAATTGATACAGCAACTCATCAAGCTGTCGAAATGTCTCAAAAGTGTTTCACAGGATTTCCTGTCGAGTGCATTGAATGTGTATTTGCAGGCAAACACACTGTGCTGCAGTGTCTGCTGAGGCCATGAGCTCAAACCCAGCGTGAGACCCGGGGGTTTGAACCCACAACCTTCTGACTCGGCGGCGAGAGTGCTGCCAACTGAGCCAGGCTGACACACACTGAGCCAGGCTGACACCTCGGTACTAAATGAATCCTAGAGGGCCCACTGTAAACACCGGCACGCATCAGTTGGGACGAATGGCCTCTTTCTGTGCCTTATTGCTCCATGCCATTCTGAGAGAGATTAAAAAGTAATATCAATTTCAAGGTTCATTGGAAGCCGGTTAAGCCGGACACATCGGGGCTGGCCATTTTGTCCGGTTTAAGAGGCGTCTAAGGTTAACCATTATGGTGGTGGTGCCTCCTCCAACCCATAGCCGTTCCCAATGGATGGGACGGGGACCAATTAGAGGCTGCTCCGAGGTGATTGACAGCATGGAGCCGCTTGTGAATGGATGACACACCACCAATTCACAAGAGGCTCTATCTGTCAATCAATCATGGTTTGACTCCTTCCATTCCCTCCCTGGTTTCTTTCCCGTTTCTCCCCCCCACTCCCCCCACTGATTGACAACCTGAAGCCGTTTGTGAATGGCTGGAGTCTGCTGTCAATCAATCGCAATTTGACTCCTCCCATCTCCATCCTGGAGCCACTCATAGAGAGTGAATAGACCCGGCGGCGATCGGCAAGGCATTTTGTCTGGATTAACCAGATTTTTTTCTGAATTAGCCACCATATTTAAAAGGGGGTAGGAAGACAAAGGAATTAGGACAGGACAGTTTGTCCAATTTAGCCGAGGTCTGGCAAAAGCAGATTCCACCGTATCTTGTTTTTGGTGGAGGTAAGGGGGATAGATGGAGTCTACCTGGAGCTAACCTGACTTATAAAGCAAACCTGTGCAGGTGAGCAAGTCACTGTTGATGGTTGATCAATGCTGTGTGATTGGGAGGTGCAGACCTATCCTTAATCCTGGCCAGCCAAAGCCCTGATGGGGAGGGAGGTGTTAGCTGGGCAGGTTCCATGGTGTATATTTACCTTTTTTTTTATTTTTGTGGGTGGGGATCAGCTGGGTGTCTGATACATGTGGAAATCCATCACCGTGCTTAAGAGGATCCAAACCAAACTGAGAATTCCCTGCATCCCACCTACACATGGAAATCCCAGAGATAGAGTGTTGGAATGGGATGCGCTCTCTCTCCCTGGAGGGATACATCCTGCTTACCTAATTCCGGAAAGTATTAGGCGCAGGTTGGCAAGAGCCAAGGCTTGGGGACCAAAACTGTATAGCCTTCCATTGATCTCACTGTCTGGCAAGTGTTCCTGTTGCTTGTCCATCTAGGACCACCTTACCATTAGGGCTTCGGCTTGCAGGCATAAAACATTGGGATCAAATTTGTAGTATTTCTTAACAGATTCCTTAATAAGAAACCGTGGAATGATAGAATTTCTCGTAGATCAAATATGCTGAGGAACTCTGTCCCAAAGCAATGTTAATGTCCAACTAACCTACCCATTTCAGCTTTGGCTTGCAAAGTTAACAGGAGCTGAGTGAGAAGAATCCCTAGTCTGCATTTCCAAGTCCTGACAACGAGCAAGGTTGGCTTGTCTGTCACCAATGGTGCCATCAATTGGAGTACTGAGAACCTGCCTGACCTGGACTACCTGGGGCCTGGGCCCCTAACTCTAATTACCTGCCAGATGTTCAAGGACTGAGCAGCTACAGCCTTCTGGGGTAGTGAATTCCATAAATTCACTACCCTCTGAGTGAAGGAATGTTTCCTCAACTCTGTTCTAAAAGGCTGACCCTTAATTTTAAGACTGTGACCCCTGGTTATAGATTCTCCTACCAGGGGAAACAGACCCTCAGTGTCTACTTTATCCAGCCCTTTAAAAATCTTATATGTTTCAATAAGATCTCCCCTAATTCTTCTGTACTCTAGAGAATACAGCCCTGGTTTATTCAGCCTATCCTCATAGGTCAGTCCCCTCATCCCAGGAACTAACCTCGTGAATCTATGCTGTACCCGCTCGAGGGCAAGTATGTCCTTTTATAAATAAGGAGACCAAAACTGCACACAATATTCTAGGTGTAGTCTCACCAAGGCCCTATACTTCCCTACTCTTGTATTCTAAACCTTCTACAATGAATGCTAACATGCTGTTCGCCTTCTTAGTTGCTTGCTGCACCTGCAAATTAACTTTTTGAGACTGTTGTTCAAGGACACCCAAATCCCTTTGCACACTAACACTATCTAATCTCTCCCCCTCTAGAAAATAATCTGTTTTTCTACTGAGGTGAATAACTTCACACTTCCCCACATTAAATTCCATCTGCCACCCACTCGCCCATTCCCCTAGCCTATCCCATTGCAATCTTTTTGCATCATCCTCAGAGCTTACTCTCCAACCTAGTTTGATGTCATCCGCCAATTTAGATACGTTACATTCAATGTCCTGGTCTGGATCATTGATGTAAATTGTAAATAGCTGAGGCCCAAGCACTGATCCTTGAGGCACTCCACTAGTCACATCCTGCCAATTCGAGAATGACCCGTTTATCCCGACTCTCTATTTGTGGAGTCCTGTAGCTCAGTGGTTAGAGCACTCGCTTTGCAAGCGAGAGACCTGAGTTCAATTCCAGGCAGAGGGCGAAACCTTGGGCAAGTTTCCTTACTCCACACAGAGCCTAATAATAATCCCTCCAAAACCAAAAACAATAATAAAAAA